CCCAGGTCGGGCTGCCCAAGTCTTCTATGACTTTGGTGAAGATCCTGAATGGGAATATCAGGTCCAGGAAATCCTGGATCATTCCTAGGACACTGGCAGTAGCCTGTGGTTCCGTGTCAAATGGGGCCTGGGGGATCTCACATGGGAGCCTCTCACTCATTGCAATGAATTGGCTGCATTGGATGACTACCTATTGTTACATGGGGTCGATGCAGTAGAAAATTTGAATAAGGAAAGCAAATTTCCTTCTATTCCCACACGAGGGGCTAATAAAGCACCCCGTCCTACTCGCTCCCGACGGACTACCCACTTGGGAATAGTCTTACAGCCTAACGAAGGACAATTATGGTGCTAGTTGCCGTATTTGGGCTTTGCCTCCGGGGTATGAACATTGTTCCCACGGACAAAACTTCATCCTTCTTCTTTTCCCCCACCATGTCTGAGCAAGTGCAAGAAAATTTCGGGAGGGAAATGCTGCCCGATGACAACTGTGGGCAAAGCCCACAATCGAACACCACCCCCATGGACACTGAGACCATGGGTCCCGCCTTAGACAGCATTCAACATACTTTGACACCAGGTGCTGAGGCCCCCAGCACCGCCAATATCCCTAATCCTACCCCGATACCAACAGTATCAGGGCATCCTTCCCCTGTGATGGATGTGCAAGCTACTGCAGCTTACACTGTGTCCGACCATCAGACAATGGGCCAGCAATTTTTCGTGGACTCGATGGTGCCAGGACAAGCACCGCCATTGCCATACTTTAACCCCAATCTCTGGGGTTACCACCCTTCCCTCCCTCGTGGAGCACCCACTCCTGAAGTGGCTCACCAGCTGCATGCTACAATGTCAGGGTCTTTCCTGACTGAACTCCTTACAGACGCAAACGCCCGTGTTCGACATCTTGATGACAAACTGTCACAGTCTCGAGAAGGGACTCGACGTATCCAAGAAGAAAACATAGGGCTCCGTGAGGAACTCTTTAACATCAAGCTCGAGAACCAGCGTCTCACCAGCGAGTTGCGGGAGGTCTCGTTACACCGGGATTTCCTCTGACGAAAGTGCAACTCGCTGGAAAGGGACCTTGAGTCATTTGAAAAAGGTTGCGAGGAAGATGAGGCATCATGCCCTTGAAAAATCCCTCACACAGAAACGCATACCCAGAATGCCCCCGTTGAGAGGGCGCATCGTGTAGATGACAACTCTCGTCCACACCCTGGACCAGCCAAACTGGCCCATCCTCAAGTACCCATTGCTGACCCAATGGTGAGCCATAGGATCCAATCGAATACATCCAATCCCGAGTTGGGAAAAGAGCGGGCACCACGTCACCCCTCCTACCACTTGAATATTCATGGTTCCGGCTACCTAGCCAGAATCGTTCTCCTTCTCCTGGGACATGGAGAAACATACCCATCCCGGGTTCCTTCTGCACCAACGACTTTGTACATGGAGTTACTGTTAGTGGCCAGAGGTGGCTAATCACCACTGAAATAGGCCGTTGTCAATGGCGATGGGACAACTTCATACTCCCATTCCTGATTACAGTGAATGGGTTTAAATTCCTGGTCGACCTCAAGTGGATCGACCAGCAGGTTGGGGCGGCTGGGGTTATCAATGATGCCCCAGGTGATGTTCATGACCTTCACGCTCGTTACTTTGAGCTAAAATTCGAGGGCGGTGTAGGAGAAATAATGGCCACACTATGGAAACCCATTATGGAAATATGCCAGATAAATCACAAAACCCCATACGACAAGTAGATATGAGAAAATAGAAGGACCTGAATTTTAATGAATTTTAACGAATTTTTACGAATTATTACGACTATATGCGATAAATTGAAAGAAAGAAAATTAGCAAAAATACTTCAAGCTTAGCATCAACAAGACGGAATTCTCGGGGGAATTTATAGCAAATATTAAACAAAGAATTAGGACAATCGACCAAGATTTGACTATAAAAACAATCAGAGAACCTCCACAGAAACTACTTTCCCATGTCCGCACACGTAGCCAAGGATGGAAGTACCACGGAACAAGGATTCCTCAGGAACTAATGCAAAATTCAAAGTCATGTTTATAATAGGAAATGTAGATGTCCCCCAAACGGACCCAATGAAAGTAATTACAGGGAAAACTACCCATAAACGACGGAGATATGACTAAAACTCCCGCAAAATGAGGACAACGCTTAAAAAGCAAGCGCAAAGAATAACCAGTAACGACCGAGACGAGCTTGATAGCCCATTAGAAAGGAAGGAATCTAATCGTAATCCACCCAAATTTTCATGATAAAAGGATCACGCATTAATGAGATATCCAATAATGGGAATAGCGACATCAAAAGTCCGAGCTCAGGGAAAAGACAATGTTTACGTAGGATCCAAAATTAAAACATACAACGAAATTTACACGGAAATTATGAAAAATAGGAAACTATAGTTATGCAAATTTTCAGCCCAAATGGTCCACCTGTTGTAAAGTTATACCAATGACGGGAATATAGAAATCCGCATCATGTTTAATGACACGTGAGGGTGGCAATGCAAAGGGAACCGGCCGTCGGAACCGAGATCCGCACTTCGGCAGATTGCGAAGACCAATTTCCATCCAACTAAGGAAGAGCCTGGTCAAAACAAAGCATGGAAAGTGCAAAACAACCTTAGATCATGAGGGAAAAATCTGAAATAAATTACAGAAGCCCATATGAAGGATATAAACACCCATGCATACCATAAATCCCGAACAATTAAACAGAAACAGCACCCGCATACGAACGACTATGGGAACGATGCATGTGATTACCGAATGTGCATGCAAACTTTTGCTAACTCGACGAATACCAGGAAATAGAACCCAACTTTAGTACCATTGGAAAGGTGGGAATAAATGAAAATTTATGATACCAAGAACGTGAGAAACCATCCAGAAATGAATGAGATACAAGGACATGAAGTTAGAAACCTGATAACGTGTGGGAAGACAGCTTCAAGAGGTCCAGAGCCCTAAATAAAATACATAAAAATATGATATCTTCGAGGACGACCTACTATAACAACAAACAATACATATGGAGGATTAGGATGTGATAATACAAAGGGGAATCAGGGAAGATGAACGACATCCACGAAAACCACTAAACTACTATGGACCATGGTGGGAATTTTAGGGAATGATATTCTAATGAAGTGGAGAGCTATAATACATTCGTTTGAGTAATTCTTGACCACTAGCAACTTTTTCTTTCCGTTTTAAACCTGAATAATTCACTCATTTACCATTTCAAGTCTCATTTTAACTAAATGTCGCTGAATAAAAATGCAATAAATCAGCTGAAGGTCTCAGCGCAGCCATATGCATAGTAATGCGAAGTTTGAATTCAGAATCACCGAGTCATAGCAAAATTTAATGGTAAATATGAGGAATTTGAAATAGGAAACTGCGACAAATGCAGCGCAGTCAAGTTTTAATTAACCATTAAAATAGCTTAGGTGAGAAAGGACAATAAGGATTCTAGGCACAGTCTGACTGCAGTAGAGCCACAGTTCAGTGCAGCAAAGTGCAGTAGAACTATAGTGTGAAATTTTCATTCTTTATTCAGTTTGAGAAAAATACACTGTAAATAAATCCTGTAAATACGAGGTAGAGCGTGAAAAAGGAAGGCGACCCAAGGAGTATAAAAGGGAGACCCTTTCTGCGACTTTTTGCCCCCCTCAGAGAAGTAAGAAAATAGAGTATTATTTTTCTCAAGCATTTCTGGTTGTCACTCCAGTGTGAAAAAGTGATATACAGTTAAGATTGCCACTGTAATAAAAGGCAGCAATTAAGGAGAGAAATATTAAGTAGATATTTCAACAGGAGAGCTGGTTAACACTCCAGATTTCAAAGTGTAAACACAAAACATGTCAGAGACCAGATTCGAGACGAAGGAATGTCTCCGTAACGGAGGGCTTCGGCCTCAGCGACTTCTGCCAAGAGCGCTGTGCCTAGTGACACGTCCATGCCCTAACTTACTGACTGGCAATTAGAACCTAGGGGGGTAACTCTAGTTGATTTTACTACTGGGGCGTAACCTATGTACAAGTGGGATATATATATGGTTACAGCGGAGACGGTTCCGCAATTGGCGGAGCCGAACGGAGCGGAGCTAACAGGGTTTAACCATTAGCCGACTGAATATTACCGACGAGTCGGTTTGCGGGGTTAGCGGAAAGGCAGGCGATAACCCAGAAACAGAAAGGAGGGATAGGCCCGAAGGTGGGCTCTGCAGGGCAGGCGAGTGTATTGCCCAGCGGAGGTGGGGGTGCACTAGCGGACGTCGGAGCTGTCCGGAAGTCTTCGGGGCTCCGTACTTAGGGAGGTGTAGGTAATAAATTGAAATGGGGGGGTGGTGACCATCGAGGGGTGCCGAGAGGATTGCGGAATACGGGGGCTCCGAGGTTAGTGAGGGAGGAGCAGAGTTAGAACAGAGAGATCGGAGGGACCGGAAGTCGATGGCCGGGGATGGATATGACAAAACAGTTATTTTGCTACTGTTAAAACAAGCAATAAAATAAGACAAAAATAAAACAAACTCAAGGGACACTCCAGACACAATCCAAATCCATTAACTGAGTAGAATCTTTGAAACTTCACCAAGTAGAAGATTTAATTCAAGTTAAATTCCAAATTGAACAACACTACACAGAATTACACCTAGACAAATTAAGAAATTTCAATAAAGGAACAGCTCTGCAGGGCTCGGTTTATCTGTAAGTCAATTCCCAGAAACTTTAGACTAACCCACAAAAATAGAATTAGCCAAAACACTCGGATTGGTACTATATTTACAACAAATAATACTAGTACACTTCCCCATCCTAACTAAAGAACCAGGGAACAGCTTGGTGGTGGTCTTGTTTGAACCTCCCAACTGACCTTCCTTCGTTCTCTCCTTCAACGCGGGGTTCTCTCTCTCAATTAATGGATGGCAACTATGGCCATCTACCCGCTGCCATGCACCCTCCCACCCCACCACCTATCCCCAACAAGGACGAGGATATGAAGAGTGATGGCGAGGTGACTACAGGGTCAGTCGACAAGGCTGCCCCTCTTCCTGAATGTCATTTCCCCGCTGCGATCTGGTCTGAGACTGAGGCTGCTGTTGCTGGTCCTTCGGACCTTTCTAATGCTGCTGTTTTGGCTACCACTGGCCCTTCCTCCAAGAAGGGTAAAGCAAAGAAGGTTTAATCACCTTCTCTTCGTCGAGGTATATGTGCCTCATTTAAAACAGAGGGGTTAATCACCCCCTGTTCTATCATCCGCTCTGGTGCGTCATTCGTACCGCTGAGGCCTAACTGCCTCATTCATCGTTTTTTTTTTGCTTTCTGCTCTGGGACCATCATAACAACGGTTCTGCAAAGGCCTAACAGCCTTTGCTTTGCTCTCCACCCCATTCTCTGGACCATCATAATAACGGTTGTGTGAAGGCTTGATGGCCTTAGACACTGGTCTGGGGTCGGCACCGAAGGTTGCCGTTGCAGGCCACTATAGGCCGCGATGGCTGTGATGCCATGAATAAGGCCCAAGGGTAGGGCATTTGGCCTCAGCGACTCTAAAGGAGCGCTGTGCCCCCTAGCTGTCTCTTGGCCCTCATTTCAGACTTACTGGGGCTGCCTTGCTGGGGTCAGGACTTAAGGGGTCATGGTCAAATCGATATTAGAGCTAAGGTACAATAAAGTATCATACAGGATATATATAGGGAGAAAGAATGAATGGAAGCGGACCCAGGCTGAAGGCCGAAGGGTCCGGAAGCAAACGTGAATAAGGAGCAGGGTTGGCCACATAGCGGCTGGCAATGACTGAGGGTCAAAACAAACAATAACAGATAAATAAAGGAAGGAGCGTTGAAGGAGCAGAGCTGAATCACCTTATGTAACCAGTTTCCTACGTCCAATAACGATATTAGAGTTTGTGCTGATTTGCGTACTGACCATGTTTTGGTTGCCAAATATATAATTGTTCACTGTCTAAACAACAATAAACACCCCCCAACGATCTCACCTGACGTATAGATTGTCTATGGATAAAATTCTATATTGACTTTACTATGATTTCTAGTCAATATTACACCTAGATATACCACTTTTCAGTAGGATGTGATTTTCCTGATAATTTGCTGAAGAAAAACTACTAATAAAATAATTCCGTAATAAATGTTACTCAATACAGGAGTGACCAAACTGCTCTTTCTATCGCTTAGAGTGCGTGCTAGTTATCTAGCAGGTTCAGGATCGCTCACTTTTCTCCTGTGGTGTGATAACCAAATATTACTGAGAGATTATTCAATTAAGAAGTCCCTCCACCAAATTCTCACTAATTCTCACTATGACACTTTTGTTCAGCTGTGTCTAACTGACCCTAACTCACGCTTAGAGTGACGTGTTAGTTTTATATTAGCTAACAACTAATATTTGCTTTTATCTTTTGGAGCAAACGAACCAACCACTGGTGAGGAGAATTAAACTTATATTTCTACCTGAGGTTTGAGAGGGGGCAGAAGCGGCGGCCTTTTATGCTTTTCAGAGGCCTCTCTACTCCCACGCCTCGCACTAGCTACATGTGCTACATTTGTATTATAGATAGTTCTAGAATGATATAGGGGCTTGGGCTGTGTAAGCTTAATAATGGACTTAGGACATGACTCAGCAATAAGTAATTCAGTTCTTTGTCTTTTGGGCCGATCTTAGCGGGGCCTTGTAGCGCTAAGGCTATGCTCTACACCGCCTTAATTACGAACGGTTATCTTCAGAAATGACTCGGCCATAAAGGAACTTTCTAGACTGTTCTCTAATTCACCCCTTTTTGTGAAGCTGCATCATTACTAATGTTCTAGAGCTTTCCCAATTAATTAACTGATCCACGGACTTCTTAATCACTTTATGCTTATGATCCGAGATCCAGATCATCAATCATTCCTTTGTTCCGATTTATTTGAGCTTAAAATCAAAAGGTTTTGATGAATCATGGGAAAATATACAAGATCCGGTTTTTTAGCATTTCCTCCTCTTCTGATGCGATCGAAAACTGTCCGCCCGCGCCGGAGAATACTCTGTCATATGGTATTTGGTCCGCCAGACTTCCGGGCGCCAATATATTTCCCTTGAGTCACATTACTTTTTATAAGAATTAGCAAATAAATATATATGAATTATAAGGTGTTTCGCCGTTTGAGCAATATCTCCGGCAGTTTTGAAGCTTTTAGAATGAAGCAAAACCGTGGATAAAGTTTAGAAACAGTCCTTTTAGATGGTAAAAAGATTACAGTCAAAGGTTTACTGGTTCCCGAGATATTCACATTTCTTTCCCAATGTTCCTTCTTATTCTGCCATCTATGTGCTATTTTCTTGTTGTAGGGAGATATTATTTGAATATTACACCTATGCCAGGTTCTAGGCATGCTTGTAGTAGATTGAATCTCATGCTACATGGGTGTGGATAATTTATAATGATCTTCTAATGTCTGTCCAGTCTCATAAAGATCATGAGATCTGTTAAACATCTGAACTTGTCACCTGGTTGTTGACTATTCTGATAGATCATTGTTTTATTCTTTGAATATTATTTCTCCTACAGTGTAGGGCCATGATAGCGGCGATGGTATTGTAGCGGTGCTGGACTCAGAGTTGGGCCAAAGTCAGGTGCGGGAATGGTAGCGGCCATGTAGGGGCCAAGTGGGCAGGGTAGAGGAGTCGTGCTCGGTGCGGTGCTGTTGGTGTGGCTGTGGGGGAGTCAGCCCAGTGTAGGGGAGCCTAGGGGCAAGCGGGGGAGTGAGCAGGGAGTCCTCAGGGAGGATAGGGCTGAGGTTGGGGCTCGCACTCATGCTTGTGTAGCAGGAATGGGCTTGGGCGGCATCGGGATGGGCGGCTAACGGGCCGGAATGCACGGCCATGACACTTAGTTCCTTTGATCTGCTGAAACAGCAGGTCGGTGGAGGCCTAATGGCCTCTACTTTATATATCTTTCTTTGGTCTGTCGAAATAACAGACCCATGGAGGCCTAACAGCCTCTGCTTTATATCTTTTCTTTGGTCTGTTGAAACAACAGACTGTCAGGGACTGTGTGTCAGTTCACGACGATAAGAGTGTTCCCGAGAATCCTAGTCGTTGTTAACGCTGAGGCGCCACCCTCAGCGGAGATAGGGGTTATATACATGGGTACTGCTACCCACTAGAGTGCGGTTACAATGAGATAAGAGCTAACCGATAGAATGACGACATGAAAGAGATAAGTATTCATTCGGGTAATCGTAAGCGAGGTGTGGGAAGGGGGTGACATGTGGATGGAAGATAGAAGCAGGAGCTAAGCGAGAGCTAAGCAAGATTACCTGCGTTCTTCAGATCACTCTGGATCGTCTTACAGCAACTCCCTTCCGGCATAGGGAGTCAGGGTAGCCGGTTAGGCCGTGCCCTGACACAGACCCATGGAGGCCTAACAGCTATCATTTTTAAATTCTTTCTTGAATAATTCTTGTAAAAAGTTTTGAGGGGAATGGCTTAATTGCCATTCCCCACTTTATATTAATTTTTTGACAACTTCTTGTTATACCTGCCTGTGCGATATTAATATCGCAAGGGAGGAGAGTGTAAGGGATATAGGCTGCGTACTCGCGGCCTACCTTATTCATTCTTCATTCTTTATTTATCGCATCGGGTTTGTACCCGACACAACACTTCTATTCCCGAACCCTTCATTTCTACCATGCAGTCCCAAGCTGCAACTATCACATGTATATACAATATTGTATTTAACCTACATGTGAGGGGGGTAAAGGCTTCCCCAGCCTTTTACCCCCCCCATTGATAAATACAGCTTCATACAGCATACTTCAGTGGACTGGGAGTGTAAGGCAAAACCTGACTATTGCGAGATCACTTGTGAACTCAACCTAAACAATGCTTACAAGGACCGAAGAAGCAACCTTCTTCTCATTTCCCACTTCAGCCTAAGAAGCCACACAGGGACGTAAGCCCGAGTGAGGGCTGCCTGCTATACAGTCTCACTGCCCTGCCATCATCTGGGCTGCTAGTGCCGAGCGTTACGCCGCTACCTCCGCCTCTTTCGAGCTGTCCCTGACACACACACGAAATTTGCACCCATGCATGCTGAGAAACTCACACCACCACACCTTAGTCCTGCCCCACATGTTGTTCACATGCTGATGGCATTCTATATGTGTACCTGCATCTTCTAGATACTCTCATGTGCACACACAGCTGTGGAAACTTGTGATGTACTGGCTTGATGGTAGAGATTGTCAGGGACCAGATTCGAGACGAAGGAAAGTCTCCGTGGCGGAGGGCTTCGGCCTCAACGACTTATGCCAAGAGCGCTGTGCCTAGTAACACGTCCATGCCCTAACTTACTAACTGGCAACCAGAACTGAAGGGGGGTAACTCTAGTCGATTTTATTACTGAAGTGTAACCTATGTACAAGCTGGATATATATATGGTTACAGCAAAGACGGGTCTGCAAATGGCGGAGCCGAACGGAGCGGAGCTAATGGGGTTAAACATTAGCCGACTGAATATTACCGATGAGTCGGGTTGCAGGGTTAACGGAAAGGCAGGCGATAACCCAGAAACAGAAAGGAGGGATGGGCCCGAAGGTGGGCTCTGCAGGGCAGGCAAGTGTATTGCCCAGCGGAGGCAGGAGTGCACTAGCGGACGTCGGAGCTGTCTGGAAGTCTTCGGGGCTCCGTACTTAGGGAGGCGTTGGTAATAAATTGAAAGGAGGGGGTGGTGACCATCGAGGGGTACCGAGAGGATTGCGGAATATGGGAGCTCCGAGGTTAGTAAAGGAGGAGTGGAGGTAGGCTGGAGGGATCGGAGGGACTGGAAGTCGATGGCCGGGAATGGATATGACAGAGATCTCCCCCTGGATGAGATTCTCCCTCAATGTTGCCTGGAATACTGGGGGATGAGTGAATGTGATGAGGTGATGGAGGTGGCTTACAATGTGATAGACATCCTTGCCAGCAGTCTCAAGGCTGCTGTCATTTTGGATGATCATACACAATGGTGGATTTGGCATGCAAATACATTGATGCCATCATTGGGATTGAGCGCTGCACAGCCTTGTGGAGTTACAGGGATGAGGGTGTATGTAAGCATAGTTAAGGTTGAGTTCACAAGTGATCTCGCGATAGTCAGGTTGCCTCACACTCCCAGTCCGTCAGATATATGCTGTATGTAGCTATATTATCAATGGGGGAGTAAAGGCTGGGGAAGCCTTTATCCCCTCTCATGTAGGTTATATATACATAATGTAATTACATGTGATTAGTGTGGCTTGGGACTGCATGGTAAAATGAAGGTATCACGTCAGGTACAAACCTGACATGATAAATAAGGAATGAATAGGGAGGGCCACAAGTATGTGGCCTATCTCCCTTACAGTGTAGTAGGATTTAACACATATGAGGATGTGTTTGAGTGTGTCAGAGACCAGATGTGGGACGAAGGAAACATCCCTGTGGCAGAGGGCTTTGGCCTCAGTGACTTAGACCAGGAGCCCTGTGCCTAGTTACACATCCATGCCCTAATTTACTAACTGGCAAAGAGAACTTAGAAGAGGGTAACTCTAGTCGATTTTATCACTAGGGTGTAACCTATCTACAAGTTATGTATATATATAGTTACATAGAGGGCAGGCCCATGAATGGTGGGACTGAGCAGAGCAGCGCTAACGGAGTTACATGTTAGCTGACTGAATATTACCGACAAGTCAGGTTATGGGGTTAGTGGAGTGGTGGGCTATAACCCAGAAATGGAAAGGAGGGAGCAGCCCAAAGGTAGGCTTGCAGGGCAAGCAAGTGAATTGCCCAGCGGAGGTGGGGGTGTGCTAGCGGACATCAGAGCTGTCTGGAGGCCTTCAGGACTCCGTACTTAGGGAAGCATAGGTAATATATTGGATTGAGGGGGTGGTGACCATCGAGGGAGTCGGAGGTGATTGTGGAATACAGAGGCTCTGAGGTTAGTGACGAAGGACTGGAGGTAATCCAGAAGGACCAGAGGTAGTGGAGGATGATGGCCATGGATGGATATGACAGAGTGGCTGGATACTGTTTACACTAAGTGGACTTCCATTCCTATGGTTCACTTGTATGAGCTCACATGTGAGTGCTATCTGAAGTCCTGTCATATCTGTACAATCCCAACCTCCACTCCGGGCTCCTGGAACTCCAAAACTGACTCCAGAGCCCCACTTCCCTTTTGCCACCTCCTCCCTTGCTGGTTCCAAGGAGGTCACCTCCAGCTCCAACACCACCTTCAGTCCAACTCCAGAACATTCCGGGTCTGACCCCAACCTTGACCCCTTCCAGATGAGTACATGACATCTATGCTCCCGACTCCGGACCTCCACTCCGGAATCCCATTCACATCTCCATCTTCAAAATTCCAGTCTCAGCTCTGACCTTGGACTTTGATCCCACCTCCATTGTATTGGTTAGCTATTTACCTTTGCCAATATTCCAGAGTTTGACTTTCAAGTTCAGACTTTCTGGACTTATTTCAGACCTTGCAGTTCTTACTGTATTGTTCCCATTCAATTCCGCTATTCTCCCTCATTCCTATTTGGGCTGCTGCTTCTTTCTATTCAGTCAGCTAGCCATTTCTGGCTCCCATCCTCCCTCCTTCCTCCTTGGGCCTTGGCCCTTCATACCTCCCCTGGGAAACTGTCAGGGACAGCTCTGAAAGCAGCGAAGTCCCAGCATGGGGGACTCAATGGGACGAGAAGCAGCTATGCATAGCAGTGGTCCTGTCGTGGGGTGAGCATCCCCAACCACTTAGTCTGAAGTGGGAATGTGTCATATCCGTACATACTCAATCCCAAGCCGACTCCCAGACCTCCATCTTCACCACCTCCGGAGTCCTACCCTACTGCTGTCCGTTCTGATATTCACCTTCAGTCCTGACACCACACCTGACACCACACCACTCCTCACCCCTCATGCCACCTCCACCCTCCTGTCCTTCTCCTACCCTATCTCTGTTCGCTCCAATACTCATCTCGGACCGAACATCACTCCTCTCACTCCTCCTACTCCTCCTCACGACACCTCCACCCTTCCGTCACTCTCCTACCCTTCTCCTGTCCGCTCCGACACTCACCTTCAGACCCAACACCTCTCCTCCACTCCTCACCCCTTTCCTCTCTCCTCTCTCTTCCCTCTGACCCTCTTCCGCCGACCCTCTGCCAAGTTACGACCTTTTGCTGCTGTCCTGTACCCTGTACTTGGACACCGCTTGTACCTTCGCTCCGAAACTCCGTCATAGTTCCTACCTCGGACTTTGACTCCACCTCGGCTTTAGTCCATTGCATTGGTGACCTCATACTACGTAAACACCATTGCCAATATTCCTTGGACTTTCAACCCCGCCTCTGTAACCTCCATAACCTCCGCAACCTCTGAGCTCCACAGATCATCTTCGGCACTTTCGCCGCTTGTAATGTATCTTTCGCATTTTCCCCTCATCCCTATTTGGACTGCTGCTTCTTCCCATTCTAGCCAGTTAGTCATCATCCCCACTTCCCCTCATCCTCCTGCCCCTCTGGGCTTCACCCTCCTTACCTCCTTTTGGATGTACCACAGGTTCTGCCCTATGACCTTTGGTACCGCTCTGCTTCTGTCATCCCTTTGTTCCCGTTTGGATGCCTTCGTTCCGATTCGGACCCCCTTTGTTTCCTTGTGCTTTTGCCCTCTCCATTATATATATTGGCGCTTGTACATACTCATTTTAGGCCTTTAGTCTAAAATCGACCTGAAATGCCCCCTAGAGACTTCCTGCTTGCCACCTATGAAATTAAGGACCAAATGGACAAACAGCAATGGCACAGCACTCCGCTTGAGTCGCTGAGGCCAAGGTCCCTCCTTGCTAAGTCTCTGGTTCCCCTCCGGAATCATCCGCCCTCGCCCAGTTCTAACAGAATGTGAGAAGAAGGCTATTTCTTTGGTTCCCACTCCAGCTGTTATTATATACATGTGGAATCAGTCACGTTGTAATGGGTCAATCACCTTGACTTGAGACAAAGAAGAGGGGGAGGATTGTAGTGATTTCATGTGTGGTTCATGGGGCCGGGTTTTGGTCTGGGGGCGCTGCTAGGTCTACTAAAACCTCAAACAAACACTCACCTACATCTCTCTTGGATGTCAAGGCTGAGGATTATGATAAGAGGGGGGTTTAGACGTCTGTGGCAAGCTCAGGGTGTTGGGGTCATGGATGGCATCTTTGCCACTTGGATGTAACTAACTTTTCCCTCTTTCATGGGTCTATTCAGTACTAACTTGTTATGTAAAAGGTTTTTCTATTTTATATGGACTGGAAATAAAATGAATGAAATGGGGAAATGCATACGGGCCGATAGGCAACCGTAAATATATAATGTCCAATCAGGGACAGAGAAACAATAAAAGATATATGAATGAATGGGGAAATTGTGACAATGGATCTGAAATGGAAATTGTGAAAGTTAACTCCGCAACACTTCGCCACAGCGCCCGCCTATTCTCCCGTCAGCAACCTCCTCGTCTCCAGCTTTCCAACGAACCCTTATTTGTCCCAATTGGTGCAGTAGTTCCTGAGATATGGCCAATGACAGGTGCTGTCAAGACCATGTGAGGCTCTACACCATGCTGAGCCATCCAAGTATGGGATTTCCATTCTGGGAAATGCTCCATGGGTAAAGGGGGAAGGTAGAGCGTCACCATCAGGCAGAAAAATGGCTAGGTTTGATGTGTAGTTGTGGAGGTCTGGGGAGGGGGTGAAATTGGCAGTGTGGTTGGGTGTGGGAAATCTGACTTGGGACTGTCAGGAATGTTGGGGAAAATAAGGAATGAGTGTATGGAGTGTTGGACAGTGAGAGGACAAGAAATGGAAGTATCAGTGGGTATGCAGTGTGCGTTGTTGGGTAGAATCCACAGAATCCGACTTTTTGTGGTGCTGTCATATCCATACCAACTCCGCCTAACCTCCGACCTACTCCACCACTGTTCTGGTTCACCTCCAGTTCATCCTCTCCCTCACCTCCGCCATATCCTCTGGTATACCTCCGGTCCACCTCCACCTCCAATCTCTGGTACCTTCTCTGGTACCTCTTATCCTCATCTTAGATGTTTAATAATATTTCTACCTACCTACCCAATATTACTATGGACCCCCTAGGACCTCTACCAACCCCACAAAGGTTTTCCCACTTTCCAACAGCTGTTGCTAATTCTACCCTTCACCTACCCACTCCACAATGCTTGATAAGGTGATTCTCTCACAACTCACCAACCTGTCATATCCATTCCCGGCCATCGACTTCCGGGCTCTCCGACCCCTCCGTTCTAACTCTGCTCCCCCCTCACCAACCTCGGAGCCCCCGTATTCCGCAAACCTCCCGGTACCCCTCGATGGTCACCACCCCCTCATTTCAATTTATTACCTACGCCTCCCTAAGTACGGAGCCCCGAAGACTTCCGGACAGCTCCGACGTCCGCTAGCGCACTCCCGCCTCCGCTGGGCAATACACTCGCCTGCCCTGCAGAGTCCACCTTCAGGCTTATCCCTCCTTTCCGTTTCTGGGTTAACGCCTGCCTTTCCGCTAACCCCGCGAACCGACTCGTCGGTAATATTCAGTCAGCTAATGTCTTAACCCCGTTAGCTCCGCTCCGTCCGGCTCCGCCAATTGCGGAACTGTCTCCGCTGTAACCATATATATACACTACTTGTACATAGGTTACGCCCCAGCAGATAAATCAACTAGAGTTACCCCCACTAGGTTCTAAGTGCCAGTCAGTAAGTTAGGGCACGGACGTGTCACTAGGCACAGCGCTCCTGGCAGAAGTCGCCGAGGCCAAAGCCCTCCGTTATGGAGACATTCCTTCGTCTTAAATCTGGTCTCTGACACAACCTGTCATATCTGTTAGAACCAGGCGGATTCGGACGACTCTGGAGTGGAATCGGAGACTTAGCATGGAAGGACCTTGGCCTCAGCGACTCAGGCGGAGCGCTGTGCCATTGCTGGTTGTCCTAGGGGTCCCTAAT